TCTAGAAGGCTTTAACAATGTATTTGGATGGCATGCATATCTGTGGTATGACAAGGTCAAAGCACATAAAGCATTTAAAAACCATATTGTCAGGAAAGCACTGTTTAATGTTTGGATAAGATACAAGGATTTATTGGAAAATAAAACTCCAAGGTGGCTGTCACCGATGGAAGCGAAAGCCTTGAAAAAGCTCAATATGGAGGTCAATTGGCTGAAATATTGGGAAATTCTGGAACAAGATGGAGACAGATTGAAATTGCAGAGTTTCGAAAAACTAAAAAACAAAGTGCGAGACTGGCTTCATTATTATCAGATAATGGAGGCATACAATTTGGATAAGAAAATCGGCTTCCAGGTGGAAAAATCAAAATTAGAAACAGAATTGTTAGAACCCAAAACTAAAATTTTGTCAAAGATGTATAACTTGCTGTTGAAATGGAACACTCAGGATGAAACGGTGAAATCTGCTATGATTAAATGGGCACAAGACGTTGGACATAATATTATGTTTGCTGACTGGGAACAGTTGTGGACCACAGGTATGAAATTTACGGCATGTAATGCCTTAAGAGAAAATATTATGAAAATGATATACAGGTGGTACATAACCCCAGTCAAGCTTGCAAAAATCTACCATTTGCCTGATAATAAATGTTGGAAATGTAAAGAAACTGAAGGTACATTTTTTCACCTTTGGTGGACGTGCCCAAAGATTAAGGCTTTCTGGGAGATGATATATAATGAACTAAAAAGGTATTTAAATATACCTTCTTGAAGAAACCAGAGGCCTTTCTCCTGGGCATAGTCGGCCAATCGGTGTTAAAAAGGACAGAACTTTCTTTATGTATGCTACAACAGCAGCAAGAATACTCATTGCAAAGTATTGGAAGACACAAGATCTACCCACACTGGAGGAATGGCAGATGAAAATGATGGACTACATGGAATTGGCGGAAATGACTGGCAGAATCCGTGACCAGGGAGAAGAGTCGGTGGAAGAAGATTGGAAGAAATTCAAAGACTATTTACAGAAATATTGCAAAATTAATGAATGTTAGAATGATGTTGGATTGAAGTTAAGGGGTTTCTAGCTGTACAGGCCAAAAGAATATGGAAAAATTGATTTTTAATATGTAAAATGTAAAATTTAAAGTTATAATATACCAAGATTAAATATTAGGATTAAAAAGGAGGGAAAGGAATTGTTGGATTAACATATTTAATTAGAATACAAAAGAGGGAGGTAAGAGGTGGTCCGGGAAACAAGTAAATGTAAAAGAAGTGAGGAAAAGATGAAATTGTTTTTAATTGTTTTTTCTTTTTTTTTACTTTGTATTTTTTCTTTTTATTGTTAATTCTTTCTTTACTAATGTGGTTTTCTTCCTGTGAAACTTTAATAAATATTATTTTTTTAAAAAAATGATGGTGCATCACAAAAGATTATCCCATTATAAAATCTATTTGAATCTCAGGTGCCAAGAAGACTCTGTTTTTTCAGTTCAAAATGTGGTCCCTGGTCAGTTGCCTGCCAGGGGATTGCATAAAATGAGAGGTCTTCCTCTGCCAGCTGGGAGATCTATTATTAGAGCAGTGGTAGCTTATAGAGGGGACGCGGGTGGCGCTGTGGGTTAAACCACAGAGCCTTGGACTTGCCGATCAGAAGGTCGGCGGTTCGAATCCCCGCAACGAGGTGAGCTCCCATTGCTCGGTCCCAGCTCCTGCCAACCTAGCAGTTCGAAAACACGTCAAAGTGCAAGTAGATAAATAGGTACCGCTCTGGGGGGAAGGTAAACGGCGTTTCCATGAGCTGCTCTGGTTCACCAGAAGCGGCTTAGTCCTGCTGGCCACATGACCTGGAAGCTGTACGCTGGCTCCCTCGGCCAATAAAGCGAGATGAGTGCTGCAACCCCCGAGTCGTACGCGATTGGACCTAATGGTCAGGGGTACCTTTACCTTTACTAGCTAATAGAGTGTCCTCCAGAAACTGCTGAACTCCAGCTCCCCTCAGCCCCAGCCAGCATGGCCAATGATCAGAGCTGATGGGATTTGTGGGCCAATATTTGGAGGGTACCGCATTGGCAATTCATACATCAATAAGATTTAAAATTCTGCCACATCCTTGAAAGCTGTTGCCAATCAGAATAGGCAACCCTGAGCAAAACAGACCGACGATCTAACTCAAGACAAGGCAGGCCCCTATTCCAGACTTGCATTGTACAATTTTTCCTAGTCTATTCGTTTTTCGTACACATTGCTTGGCCGCACAACTGAATTTCAATAATCAGAGAAGCGCTAATTTCAAAGATGTTCCCGTTCCCGTGTTATTTCAGAAAACAGCAAATGAGGCAGGTTCACCTTTAAAAGTGAACCGGAACAAAATTCCCCCTCCCTCATCCCTACTTGGGGACCAGTTCTGTAGAATTCAGCAATTCTTATTTCTGAGTAGATATCCATAGAATCCCACGCTTAGGGCTCACCTGCAAGAGGCACCCATCATTCCTAGTGCAATACTGCCACCTTCCGGAGATCCTGAATGAATTACAAGACCCACATGCAGTATCTTTGGAGAGTGATGCTCATGGGTTTTCATGCATGTTTCAGGCTTTAATCACAAGCTTTGAAGAGTACTGTGCATTTGTGGGGAGCGGAGGCTTTATCCATCCATTCAGCAAAGCAGGGGGGGGGGCGTGTCATCTCCAGAGTCTGATTAATCCAGGAGCTTTAAAATGTTTAAACTCCTCTCTCTGGGAAGCGAAACTGTTATGGATAGGGAATCATGAGGGAATATGGAAACTCAGTGGGATATGGGGGGAAGTATTTCTCCTAGGAACACATACCATTCCCATCACAGCTGTTTTCACAAATGTTATTAGACTTTAGTTAATTGGAGAGAGAGAGAGAGAGAGAGAGAGAGAGAGAGAGAGAATATGAATGAATAGCGGGAAATGCTACGGTTGCTGTAATTTTAGTCAGCACATTAATCAACTAGAGTTTTGGTTTACTCATTGACTGGAGCCCATTTTAATTAGTGGGGCTGAGCTTTCAGGGCACATTCATATGTTTCTGAAGCAATCTCAGTTTGAAAGTTTTAAAACAGTGATTCCCAAACATTTCCAGGGCCACCGCTTGGCCTATTGCTCAACATCCCAAAACCCAAAGTGCTGCACCAACAAGCACAAAACAACCCTCTGCAGCGCCACAAATCCAAATCAATGGTGCAACGTTGGAAAATGTTCATCACTTCTCCTACCTGGGCAGTTATCTTTCCACAAGGGCATTGATGCCGAAATCCAGCATCGCCTGAGCTCTGCAGTGCAGCTTTCGCCCAATTGAAGTGCAGAGTGTTTGAGGACCGGGACATTTGCAAGGAAACCAAAATGCTTGTTTACAAAGCTATTGCACTACCGGCCTTACTGTATGCTTGTGAAACATGGACCACTTATAAACACCATCTCCAACTCCTTGAAAGATTCCATCAACGGTGTCTCTGGAAATTTTTACACATCACTTGGGAAGACAGGCGAACTAATGCCAGTGTACTGAAAGAAGCAAAGATCACCAGTGTTGAAGCAATGATTCTTCAACATCAACTTCGTTGAATTGGTCATGTTGTGTGGATGCCTGATTATCGTCTTCCAAAGCAACTGCTCTATTCCAAACTTAAGAATGGAAAGCGTAATGCTGGTGGTCAACAAAAGAGGTTTAAAGACTCTCTCAAGGCAAATCTAAAGAAATGTAGTATAAACACTGACAGCAGGGAAACACTGGCCTGTGAACGCTGCAATTGGAGAACAGCCTTTATCAAAGGTGTCATGGGCTTTGAGGACGCTCGAACTCAGGACGAAAGGGAGAAACATACTAAGAGGAAGGCATGCTTGGCAAATCCACACCATGATCAGCTCCCACCTGGAAACCCATGTCCCCACTGTGGAAGGACGTGTGGATCCAGAACTGGCCTCCACATTCACTTACAGACTCACTGTTAAAACTGTGTTTATGGAAGACAATCTTACTCGGCTACGAGTGATTGCCAAAGAAGAAGAAAAAGAAATAGCATTATTCAGAATACCAGTTTGCATGGCCCACTATGGAAGATAATAACACAATAAAATTCAATATAGTAGCAGATAATTGCACATTTATGCAAAATCGAATTAAAACCATTTAGTTTAATCGAGTCGGCAAAATGGATGAACTTGATACAGGGATACCAGCTTTTCAACCTTTGATAGTCATTTACATCTTCAGTGCGCCCCACTGCAACCCACTTGACTCTTAGCAAAAAAGAAAAACCCACAGGTAATCCCAACCCCCCTCAGGGTGGTATTGGCCTTTTTGAGATCCACTGCTTTAAAATAACAGAGAGTGGAAAAGAAACTCTTAAAATCAGCTCACAGGTTTTTTAGTTATTTATTCCTCAAAATCTTTCTGCACTTGATTATAGAAATGCCTGTAAAGAGTTAATTTTTTAAAAAATGAAATAATCAATAAAGAGAAGTCTAAAGTGACTTCAAACATTTTAAAATAATTCACCAGTAAAAGATATTCAAATATGTCAGCAACTGGGCAGCCCTTGCGTACTTCCTTAGCGGACCCCCTACCATCACCCTTCGCAATTGTGAGCATGATTTATCATAGAATTGTAGAGTTGGAAGGGACACTGAGGGTCATCTAGTCCAACCCCTGCAATGCAGGGATCTCAGCTAAAGTGTCCATGACAGATGGCCATCTAAACTCTGCTTTAAAACCTCCAAGGAAGGAGAGTCCACCACCTCCCAAGGGAGACCATTTCACTGTCAAGCAGCTCTTACTGCCAGAAAGTTCTTCCTAATGTTTGGTCAGAATCTCCTTTCCGTTAACTTGAATCCATTGGTCCAGGTTCCAGCCTCCAAAACAGGAGAAAACAAGCTTGCTCCATCCTTCACCTGACAGTTCTTTAGCTATTTGAAAAAGGCTATCCTATCTCCTCTGGTTTCTAATCAGCAGAGAGACCTGAAAGGGCTGTAGCTCAGGGGCTGTACACCTGCCTTGCATGCAGAAGGTCCCAGGTTCAAAACCTGGCATCTCCAAATAGGGCCGGGAGACGACCCAGTCTGACATTGTGACAGCCCCTGCACATCAATGCCAGCAATATTGACCTAGATGTAAAATCGGAATTGGGACTTCTAAAGTCAATGGTTTCTGTATAGAAAGCATGGTGAGAAGGAAGGGCTGGGTCCACCATAAACCAGAGCTCAGGCAGTGGCGTAGCGTGGGTTGTCAGCACCCGGGGCAAGGCAACTAATTTGCGCCCCCTAACCCGGGGCAAGGCAAGTAATTTGCGCCCCCTAACCCCTAACCTGCCGCCGCTGCCAGCTTCTTCTTGCTGCTGCCTGGGCTGGTCTGGTGTGGTTCTCTCCCGCGCTCAGCGCTGTGCTGGGCGGCCACTGCACTGTCCCTCCCCCAGATAGTCCCTCGCTCTCTCTCCGCACCGCACGCCTGGCACCCACCCCCTCCACAGTAGGCGGCGACCCAGCAGCTCGGATCGGATTCGCACAGCCAGCACTGCAGTGAGAGAGAGTGAGTGAGCCAGGTAGGGGCAGAGAGCTGTGAGTGCGAGCGCGCCCCCCCCAGATGTTGCGCCCGGTGCGGCCAGCCCCCCCTGCACCCCCCACGCTACGCCACTGAGCTCAGGTGCTCAAGTGTATAAAGGATCCTTTGCCAACCTCATGCATTCAAGATGTTATGGACTACAATACCTATCAGCCCCGGAGGACGAGATGGTTGGATAGTGTTCTCGAAGCTACCAGCATGAGTTTGACCAAACTGCGAGAGGCCGTGGAAGACAGGAGTGCCTGGCATGCTCTGGTCCATGGGGCCACGACTAAAGGACTAAACAACAACAAACCTATCAGCCCCAGCCAGAACAGCTGTCGGGAGGACATGAGATTGGCCGTGTCTGCTTCATAGTACCTTGGTTCTCAAACTTAATCCGTTCCGGAAGCCCATTTCAAAACCAAAGCGTTCAAAGGTGCACTTTCCCATAGAAAGTAATGCAAAACGAATTAATCCGTTCCAGACTTTTAAAAACAACCCCTAAAACAGCAACTTAACATGAATTTTACTATCTAATGAGACCATTGATCCATAAAATGAAAGCAATAATCAATGTACTGTACTATAAAATAAAGAAGACAGTATTGTAGATGATAAATATCTTTTTTTCTTACCTGCACTGATGATAGTCATTGTTTGGATGGGATGCTTTTGTCCATTTCCGCAGTCACACAATCAATCAATCAATAGCTGAACTGGGTTCCACACAGTCACAAAAACAAATTAACCAAAAAAGCCTCAGAAACAAAAATGCAAAATAAATAGCAAAAACAAAGGCGCCAAACTCAATCTGTTCCATAAATCCGTTTGACTTCTGAAATGTTTGAAAACCAAGGTGCAGCTTCTGATTGGTGCAGGCGGAAACAATAGCCAACAGCCTATTGTTCGGCTTCCGAAAAACGTTCAAAAACCAGAATGCTTACTTCCAGGTTTTCGGCGTTTGGGAACCCAGGTCCCACTGTAGAGAGATTTCATGCCAAGGGTGAAAAGAGTCCATTTGTGGATGAGTTGCAAGGGCTACTCACCCAGGCAGCTAAATGAAACTTCCATGTACAGAGACAGTATACCTCCAAGTACCAAAGGTTAGGAAAAGGCTGACACTTTTGTGCCTTGCTACTCTAGTGAGCGCTCAGAGGAATCGGGCTGGCCAAGCGTGCAAATGGATGACTCTTGCTTTTGCTCTTCTTACATTGTCCCCTTAGCTATGCAACACAGATTTGGAGAGTCTCTTGAAAATTGTTTCTATAGTCAAACAGGGATCAAGGAGTTCATATTGCATGGTAATTTTGCTTATTTCCTGAAAAACTTTTATTCAGAATGGGCTTCCCTTGCTGGAAGAAGACCACGTATTTTCCCTGCAGCCTCCTCAGTAATTTGGAGAAGGTGGATTATTTATCCTGCTAAAAAGTTGTGGGCTTAGGTGCCAAAGAGAAATTATTTTTAATGGATTTCCCCTGTCTTTTACTAGAACAGGTTTAAAAGGCTACTTCGTTCCATGCCCTTTTCTATCTGTCTCAAGATTTCTATTTGCAGATCATGTTCCCATATTCTTTTTCAACGCTACCTGTGTCCCAGAGGTTTTATCTATAATTATTTCATAGATGTCCGAGAGATAACCTTTGCTGTTAGTGCCTGTTTTGACTATAAAGTTCTCAAACATTTTGAGAGGTCAGTTCAGTTGTTTCCACATTTTTGGGGTTCCTGGACCACTTGAAAACATAGCTATCAACTTTTCCCTTTTCTTGCGAGGAATCCTATTCGGAATAAGGGAATTTCCCTTTAAAAAAGGGGAAAGTTGACAGCTATGCTTGAAAATTGCTGAAGGTCTTGGTCAGAGATTTTTCTGCTTGTAGTAGTGTGTCGTGCTAGATGCTGTATGGTTTTAAATTGCAATTTTATTACTTCATTTATTTCCATAGAATTCAAAGTGGAACACAATAAAGTAAGGTATGCGAAATAAAATAAAAATAAAAATGCAATGAAATGTTTTTCAAACGCAGCATTCCTTGAAACTGGAACTGTTATAAAATGCCAGCCAACACCATCTCCACAACTGACACTCTTCCGATTATTTACAGAGGATGATGCCATTGTGTATAGCAAGGAATTAGTTGGACATTTTCTCGTTGTAGCACAATTCAGAACTGCAAAATTTCAGAGGGCCTCAGGCAGGGCCTAATCTAGACTATTGGAATGAGAAGGTATAGGGGACATTGTGTTGCTTGAAAAACTGACGTTCAGGTTGAGAATTCTTAGAGGCCAATGTAAAAGAAGATAAATTAATTTTGATATGGTATGATTTTGTGACATACATGGATGGTCTCCATCTCTGGCCTTTAAATGGAATTGGATTATTTTGGTTCTGGAACTGTTCACACCTCCTTTATAGCGTTCCTCATTTTGTTACCCTTCTATCCTGAGATGGAAAAATGGGAAAGTTTAAAAAACACACGCTTCAGATGGGCACCTGATATTCTCACCTGAGTAGATCCCTTATTTATTATGAGCCTGTCCAGAAAGTTAATGCAAATTTTATCTGTTGTAACTAGATTTTCTATTCCTTTTGATAAACTTTATACTAAAATGTTTCATATTTTCCCATATTTTAAAAATCAATTGTTGTTTTCAAAGAAAAATGGTTGATGGGGGGCGGGATGTGTCCGTTGTGGTGGGACTGAGGAAGCAATTTTTTACTCCAATTTTCCCTGACAGTTAAAATATTTTTTAATAAGGGATTGTCAATAGTTCCTTCCTTCCTTTCTTTTTTTGGCTAAGTGTAATATAGGAAGCTTGTGGCCAGAATTGCTAACCATATTTTATTTTCATCACCTTGCAAAACTAGATTAGATACTGCGTGGTAATAACGTTGGGTAATTTTGTATGCCTAAACTACCCTTTCGAGTCTCTAAATAAAACATTTTCGTATTGCCATGGTCTTTTTCATTTTTTCAAATTTTATGTTGAGTTTACCACATTTCTTTTTTCCTTTTTCTTTTTTAAAACTCATCATGAAAAAGTTTCAGTGCTTTAGAGCGCATTGCTTCTAACAGACACAGTTTTGCATACAATTTCCCCTAATACATGTGTTTGCATATTATTTTCACTTGCATATGCTATTTTATGCATATTTTGCCCCAATACATGCATTTTTGTAAAAACACATTTTGCTTGGGGAACAGCATGGCAAAATCGAGAAAAAGACTTGGAAAGATGACTGTGTCTCAGTTCACTTAGTGTTCCGGAAAGTGTGGATTAGGTAGATTTGCAGTGAGATGTGAACAAAACTGAATTTCTCTGCTCTCCTTTGTTCTTGTGAATTTAGCGGCAGTCTAAGGACAGAACTGCACATCATAGGTGACCCATTGGCGGCTACCAAACAGCAGACCCTCAGTTCCTCCTTTAGCAGAACTGTTTGTTTTCAAACAAAAAGCTGAAAAGAGGGGGAAGGAAGGAAGGAAGGAAGGAAGGTTTCTATTTGCCCTGTGCTTCCTGAGAGGTTTTTCTCCTGTTCCTCTACTTTCCCTGGGAAAACCCGTTGTTTACCTCTGAATCAGAACAAACGTCAATCGAGTTTTCTGCAGATTCAGCGGAGAACAGAGGGAAAGCGGCTAGGCAAATTGAGAACCTCTCTGACTTGAGCCTAGAAAGCACAGAACAAATGAAAGGAAACCGAAGACAAATGGAAGTGTGGATAAACCCTAAATCTGGATTAAATGGGCGAGAAAATATAGGATGGCATTTGGATGAGGATGGTGTCGTACAGACAGTGCAAAAATATTGGAAGAATGAAAATGCGCTTCATCACCCTAATATTTGAAACATGTTTGTGTGTGTGTGTAACTTCATTGGACTGATCATGTTGTACGGATCGTCTTCCAAAGCAGCTACTCTATTCCGAACTTAAAAATGGAAATGTTAAGCTGGTGGTCAACAAAAGAGGTTTAAAGACTCTCTCAAGGCAATTTTTTTTTAAAGAAATGTAGTGTAAACACCAACAATTGGGAAACACTTGCCTGCCAGCGCTCCTATTGGAGAACAGCCTTTACTAAAGGTGTTGTGGGCTTTGAAGACACTCGAACTCAGGATGCAAGGGAGAAATGTGTTAGGAGGAAGGCACACTTAGCAAATCCACAGTGTGATCAGCTCCTGCCTGAAAACCAAGGTCCCCACTGTGGAAGGATGTGTGGATCCACAATTGGCCTCCACAATTGGCCTTCCATAAAACCGTGTTTATGGAAGACAATCTTACTCAGCTACGAGTGATCGCCAAAGAATGAATACACACACACACACACACACACACACGTTTAGGGGTACTCTCATTTTCCTACTCATATTGAAATACTGCCCCTCAATTTGTTTCAAAATGGGAGGTTTTCAAAGAATATTTGAAAAATAAATATAGTAGTTTAAATTCTGTTGCAGCATTCGAGGAACTTCAGTAATAGTTGCAAGGTAGATAAAAGAAATTACA